CGAGCTGTCAATTCATCATATTATGTGCTTTATATCAAAAATATACATTTTGTATGAATAAACACAAGATCCCTGAGATTATGATACATGAAAAAAACACTGTTATCCTGTAAATTTAGATTATAAATTTAATATAAAAGTATAATTTATATTATATTGCGATTCGTACATATATGTGCGTGCGTTGTAGATACAATAGAACAATAATACATATTTATGTTCAAACTTATAATAGTATTAAACGTAGCAAAAAGTGACTCCATGTGTGCCATGTATACATGGATTTCTAATACATGTTTGAGCTGAATGATTTAAAATGGAAAATTCAAAATATCAGTAATTATTCTTCGAAAATCAGTCGGTCATTACCGATATTTTTAATTCCAAAATGAGGGCATTACTATTTTATCGAAATTTGTCGTTCGCTGAGAGATCCTCTTAACTCCTTGCTAATCCTTTTCAAGTCTTTTTTTAATGTATAATATTTTAATATGAATTGTGCATGTATATTTGAAAGATTTTGAGCTATCAAGATATACTTTCTATATTTGATAGTCATGTTCGATAGATATATTCGAATAGTCAAAAAATGAATAAATAAATATATATATATATATATATATATATATATATATATATATATATAATATCATTAGAAGTCAGATATATTACTTCTAGTTGTATAATATTTGCGATTCTCATTATTTATAATATTTTATATATATTTTGATTATTCACGAGAAATTCATGGATTGCCGAATAGACGAAAATTTTTACTCCCTTTATTTCTATGTTGCGAAGAAATCGTGATTATTCTGCCCACCCTTGCAATTTTCGACTGATCAAATAATATCGTTTCGTAGTTATTTTAGAATGAACGATGTTCAGCAGTGTATCATGCTGTACAGGTATGTTTAATCGAACAAAAATTCTCGATGCGTGCATGCGTGCGTTTTTAAAAAAATTTTTTCGTTTTTTTATGTCGGGTCGCTCTGGAGAGAGATCCGAGTCTGACAATTTTTCAATTTATCTCGTATTTTCCTTTCCCCGCGAAATTGATCGATGATCGCCGACGAACGCGGTCACGTTCAGGGCGTTGTAGAACGAAAATTACAAGTCGGCCCGGAAATGACGGGATATCGGAAGTGCTCGTGGCAGCCAGACTTTTAGTACTCTCGACCACTGTCAAAAAATCTATTCCGCGCTTAAGTCGAAAAAAATTAATTAGCCGCGTAATTTATTTGTAATTGAAATTTTTTTCTTTCATTATTAATAATCAATTCATATGATCAATTATTACCAAACTTTATATATATATATTTATCATTTAATAATATATACAGGGTACTCCATATAACAAATTAGAAACTGTTTTCTAGCATTACTATATGGAAATATCAACTTGAATTTTTTTAAATTAAATAGAACGCTTGAGATAAATGAAAAAATATTGAAGATTCTTAAGGGGTAAAACAGAGATCCCCCTCATTTTTTTTAAATCGGACGTAATATGAAAAAGTTATATAAATTATAACTATTTTAATATAAAAAAGATCATGTATATAAAATACATATTTTTACAGGGAAGAAAGTTGAAAATAATGTAACAAATATAGAAAAATTAAATTTAATAAATTACAGCACGATACCTATGAATAGTCTCCAAGAGCCTCTTTAATAACACAATAAAAAATCGCTTGACCATTGTGAATACCCCTTAACTTTTCGCATTTTGCGCGGTGACGTTGACTCGCGTGGGTGATAGCAAACGCGACCCGAACGCCGGCTCGTTAGGGGTTGGATTCTCGATCCTCTAACCACCTCGCCTCCACCCACCTCGGTCTGTGCAACGAGAGAACGTGGATGGAAGAACTGGTAGTAGCGACGGAATTCGTGTGCAAGCAGAAGGTCGAAGAAAGGTCAGAGAGAGAGAGAGAGAGAGAGAGAGAGAGAGAGAGAGAGAGAGAGAGAGAGACCATAATGAGAGAAAGAAGGAAGGACAATGAAGAAAAAAAACGTAATGAGTGAGACGGCTGGAGGAAGAAAGAGATGCAATGCATTAGAGAGAATGAGAATGAGAATAAAAGAAAAAAAATAGCACCAGAGTGAACGAAAAAAGAGAAGAGAAAGGACGTGAGATGGAAAAGGAGAAAATGGAAGAAATGCTGAGAGAGCGGATCGCCGTTTATTATGGGTGACGGTTAAACCGTCGATGCCGTTAGCGTTCGATAATTACTCTCGGTCGGTTCTCCACGACGTGATGAAAAATGAACGTATAGTTATATATACATATATATATATATATATATATATATATATATATATACGTATAAAAATATTTTGACAAAAGTTGTTTGACTTTAAGGGTGATACAAGATATCAATTTGTTTACAAATGGAATTATTTTCGAAAAATTCACTAATTATTACTTTTTTTATAAATGGAAACTGATTTTTTAACAAAAATTGTACGTCTCATCGAGATAGATTGAGATAGAAGCACTTTCCTAAATATATGAGGATATTCCCTTTCAGTAGCTCTGAATCGGAATTATTTTATTTCTACACAACTCCACTTTGATCATATCTACTATATCTCGTGGTAAACAATGCATTTGCTCATTAGATTGATATAACACTATTATACAACAATCATTAAATATAACTATAAAAAACAAAATATAAATTAATTTGAATAGAAAGTACTTGTTTGCGGACACTAAAATTCCAAAATTGAAAAATTGTATAAATCAATTGGAAAAATCAAGAAAATTCTTAAGATTGGTTTCGACGAGTTCTACAACTTTTGTTTAAAAAAAAATTCCATTTTAAAAAAGTGTTAAGTAATGAATATCTCAAAAGTGGCGCTATCTCTATTTCATTGTCTCGTGTCCCCCTTAAAGTCAAACTTTCATGCGCGAAATACGTTTTTTAATAAAAAGCGTAGAAAAAAGATATTTAGGATAGAACAAAATGATTCATCCTGTAAAAATCAGACACGCATAGGTACAACGTGATAGCATATCTTTATTCATAGATTGAAGTATAAAATATTATAGGGTAGACAGGGTAGACAGAACAAAAGTTTCTGGAGCTGCGTGTGTCATTAATGAGAGGTTAGGGTCCGCCATTTATTCCAAACTTCTGGACGTCCCTCGTGTCGGATGTTCGGAGTCGGCACAAGCGGCTAGTTCGCCTCTAGAGACGACAAGGATTACTTGAAAGTTCCTCGGCGGCATGCTATCGGTCCAGTTGCATGCGAGAGTCGACGTCACTTCAGCATCACTCCTCAACGGTACTCGCAAAAATGATATAACTTTACCATCATCGCAATTGCCCGCTCGCCCTGGATTGTTACTCGTTACACCATCACAAAACTGATGTCGGGCCCAGAACAAGCAAACTACACTCTATGCTTTCGATGAACGCAACTCGATGACATGTGTCTGAATATGTTTCTCTTATTCGTACTGGAGAATTTCTTTATCCTTATAACCCTAAAAGTGATTGCTTATAACCTTATCCTTATAACCCTAATCTAAAAGTGATTGCTTCTTATATCGTATATCACAAGAAATAAATCATATAATTTATAACAAAACACATACGTGACATTATAAAATAGAAACTAGCAAAACCATCTAACAAGTCAAAAAAAAAGATTTGGCTGGCCGATGCGACCGCTTTGTTTTGCCTAAACTAGTTGAATTGTGCAGATTGCGCGCTCGCATCTGTTTTCGTCGTAATGTACATGAACACGTGCGAGTATTTCGAAATTTAAACGTCGGCTTACCGCAAACCAATTACAAGTTTTCGTGCTTGTGGATATCGCGTCAGCGATTTCCCGGACAATCTCGCGATGATACTCCTCTCTCTTTCCCGTTTTCCGTCTCTTTCTCCGTCTATGCCTTTTCGCATTGCGCGTGCCTCCTGGTTTTTCAATTCAATTTAGCCTCTTCGCGTGTGGTACCGATCGTAACACGTATGCAATGCTAGCTGCATCATTGTGCTAGCATAATTGTATTGGTGTAAAGGAAAGTATGTTGCAAAGTGCTTCAGGCGTTCGTGTTAGTTACAAGTACGAACTTATGAGTGTATAATACACGAGATGGAGGTTTCAATTGCGAAGCAAAGACGAAGAAATAAGAATTAAATTATCGTACATTGTATAATATCCAATAAAAAGTACTTTTTTTATTATCAAATGAATAGTTTAAAAAAAATGAATTTATATATACAATCATCATCGTTCCTATCATTCAATGAATCTGGAAATTTTGGGACCTTGCAACGAACATAACTGACATGACACGATGTGCCAGTTCAGTTGGGTCAGTTATGTTCTCCAATCTTTTCAACTAGGTGTAAATTATTTCGCGAGACCTAAATAATTATGCGTATAGTTTTAAAAATGTTTGGTAATTATGCAGATATGGGGAGCCACCTCCAATTTAGATGATCTTGACATATGTTGTCAAAGTCACTGTTTCCTAATTAAGTATCAAAAGGTTTTAAGCATCGCTCGGTTATTTGATTTTGATGAACGCTTAGATGTTTTTTTAATACAATGGCTAATATGTATTTTATAAATAAAGATATATATATAAATAAATAGTAAATTAAAATAAGAATATATATTAAATAAATTTTAAATTGAAATCATATTACACTAAATAAATAACGCGTGGACCAATAAGAAACCAGGGGCTCCGCCCCTTTCCTGTACCCCCACCCGAAGAATGAATTTTAAACGTGTAATACATTTAAATATATATGTCACAAGTATTAATTTTATTTAGTAAATATTTTTTATTAATAATTTTTTTATAAACAACGAGCGACGCTTAAAACCTTTTGAAACTTACTCAGAACAGTGACCTTGACAATATATGTCAAGGTCATTGAAATCGAAGGTAGCTCCCCATATCTACATAGTTACCAAATTTTTAATGTAACTTTAAACCGGACCTAAATTGTATTTTTCAGATAACAACAACTCACCCGCAACTTTTAGGTATATGGTGGCTGTCGAGAGAGGCATATGGACTGTAATGCTTCTTCTCTCTCTATTTCCCAATTTATGGACCTGCTCCTTCCTGTAAAAAATATTCATTCTTGCAGAGTCTTCTACTTTAATTTTTATTTATTCTATTTTGCAAATTGTGGATCTTATTGAAAATTTGTTGTATGTCTATAGTTTTTATGCTCGCAAAGAACGGTTCACGGTTTCAAGTCAAGGAAAGGAGTATATCAAATTGGGAAAATGTTGTGTTTGTACACATAATGTTATAACCAATCGTCATCAAACTTGACACAGTCAGTCTTTTGTTACACCAAATATTTTTCTTCCAAAGCCATTCAATTTTGGTTTGATTTTTTCATATTCTACCTCATACTATGTCTTTGTCAAGTTTCATGACGATTGATTTTGTACCAAAAAATTTTTCCAATATGGCATACTCCTTTTGCTCCCTTTTTGAGAAACTCTCTTAATATTTTCCTGCATTTAATAGCGAAATCAGATTAAATATATCTAGGTTAGCACAATTTGACGTTCGCAAATCTAAATTTCACAATGTTTCCTCTTCTTCTCGCGTGAATAAAGATACGTCGCAAAAAACAGAACTTTTTCATCAGCCGTTGAAACCTCAGAAATTTTACTTTCGAGGTCAGTAGAATATTCGCTTGTTGCAAAGAAACAGCAGTAAAGAGAAAGAGAGGAAGAGAGAGATAAACATCTGTAGCTTTTGCTGCTAAAAACGCGCATTATTCGAATTTCTCAACAAACTCTTTGCATCCCCTTTACTACATGGACGTACTTTTTCGAGTTCATTCTCTTTCATTTCTTTTCTTGCTCTTCTCTCCCTCCCTCCTTTTTCCCTCATTTTTCCCCAATCTCTCTTTAACTGATTGTGAGAAAAGAAAGCACGAAATGATGTTTCTCTCCTTCTCGTTGCGTCTTCCTTCTTATCCGGTACAGTGGACGCGGAATAAAAGGCGAAAGTCGCTCGACTCTTTTGATGCTGCATCTGATTCAACCGCGCATTCTTTACGTGTATGAACATCGCCATATATCGGGTGGTCGATTGCGATTTTGATTGTTTCACCGAAAGATTAAAAAAAAATATAGTCACACATACACACGCACGCACGTATACGTTGTATATAGGGTGTTCCCTTTTTATTGTCTCAAGTAAATATGTCAAAAAATATAGAAGATATATGTAAAAACGTTTCAGACAAAAATTGTTGGATTTCAAAGGAGATGTCGTAATCTTATAAGCATAATCTTATTTTAGATAGAAATTGTTTGAAATTTAAAAGAGGCCATTATTACTTTTTTAAACTATAATTTTTCAAAAATCGAAGAATCTTGTAATATTGGGTAAACTATTATATTATTAGTGTGAAATAGTCGAAAAATGAATTAATTATACGAGATATTTTATACTTCATTTTATACACATTTTGATAAAAAGTAGAAAATATATATATATATATATATATATATATATATATATATATAAAATTTCGTAATATACTCATTTTTCAATAATCTTACCTTAATCTTTTGTATACATAGAAGAATGAAATAAATCAATTAATATAAGAAAAACATACTCCTGTGATTTGCAAAACTACAATTTGCAATAAGCAACTGCATATTTTTTTTTTTAATAATTATATGTTTCTTTTACAAGTCCTATTTTAAATAACGCATTAGTATATTTTTTGAAAATCAAGACTTTTATCAATATATATTTTATGTAAAAGTTGCACGATTTCGAGAAGAATATCTTATCATGGTCTTATTGCAGGTAAGGTATTTTTCAAATCAAACATCTTTTTAAATCCCTCCAAATCGTCAACAACGAAAGAAAATATAAAACAAAGAATACGCTCAGTGACTCCCATAATGCTACTAATAAATGTTAAGAATATTTTTGTTAATTCGGATAAATATATTTTACAAGTCTATGATAAACATTTTGAACATTTAATAAATTAAATAAGTCAGAGTAGAATGTTATAATTTTGATTTCGTGTGATTCTCAAATATTTCAAATATAACTATAAATCAAAACTTTAAACTTTAAACCATCACATGTTTTCATGATTTCAACATCTGATAAAAAATATTTCGGATAATATTAAGTTTCCTTTCACAAAATTCAAAAAATATATTTTTGTACAATGTCCTATTTAAAATTTTATAATTTCCCATATTTTCCCCACGCAACCGAGAAGATTTGGAGATTAATATTTATTCAAGTTCAAAAGCTATTCAAAACTCATATAATTCAAAATCTTAACCTTAAAAATCAATGGTATATACTTTCGGAAATATAAAGCTATTAAGAGTTATGTGAGCCACTCTGTGTGTATATACATACATACATACATATATATATATATATATAAAATATATACATTTATTTTTCTCAAAAATTCTAATTTTATAAAATGTTACGTGAGACTACGACTTTACTTTTTTGAATCTTGTATTATTATTCTGTATTTTCCAAAAATTTTGTTCTTCTATATTATTTAAATTATATATACAGGGGGTAGACAAAATAATGTGAACACCTGTGAAAGAGGGGTATTTATATTTGTTTGTTAATAAGATGGGCTACCATTTGCTTTTTTTCTAATTGGAATGTTGTCTCATTCTTGTATCTGCTAATTGCTTTGTTGAAGGAGGAAATATGTTTCTCACTTTTTCAAAATTGCCTACTGTCCGATGATATTAAGCTATTAAGATGTTTAAATATTTTCGCTGGCCAGCACAATTACCAAATTTGAATATCATTGAGCCAATTAAACGTTTTTTCAATCTCTTCTCCAAAACTGCCTATAGTGGTTCGATGATAATTGGGTTTGGTAATTATGCTGGCCAGGGAGAGTGTTTGGGCATTTTAATGGCTTAATATCATCGAACTGTGGGCAGTTTTGAAGAAGATTGAGAAGCGGATTTCCTCCTTCAACATCTATCTCTAAGGCAATTGGCGGATGGAAGAATGAGATAACATTGGAAAGGGGGCAAATGGTGGCCCAACACTGAAAAAGGAGCAAATGATGGCCCAACATTTAATTAATGTACATATATAAATACCTCTCTTTCACAGGTGTTCACATTATTTTGTCTACCCCCTGTATATATAATAAATGTTTTATTCGTGAATTTTTATAAATTTATCTCAGATAATTATATATATTTGCATTTCTGACGTTCCTATTTTTAATCCACGTTTACACAAAGCAACGTTTAACTCGTTTTTCAATGATCGTTGTGATGTACAAGGACCGCAATTCCCGTTCCTCGGAGGCGCCTTTAACCTTTTTCCTCGAAACTGCCGGCCAACGACGTTATCTTCCGCAACGTGCACGATTAATAAAACGGGGATTCGCCACCGTCCGCTGCGGGCGACCGGCGAAGGTTTTAATCTTTTTTCCCCTTTCGCGCTAATGGCTGCTGTAGAATCCGGCGCGGTATTGTGCCGGGTTTAGGAGGATTACCACCGTCCACCTCGACAACCCACCGGGTATATCAGGGACTCGGTGATCATGCGAGTTCCCGCTTCTCCCACCCCTGCACTAGCCAGCCACGACTATCGCAATTGTCGAGAATTTCCCGATTTTGCATGCAATTTCTTGCGCAAAATATTCGTAAAAAATTTTGTGCGAACATGAAAACATGTCCTCTTTTCTATTTCCTCCCTCCTTTCTCTCTCTCTCTCTCTCTCTCCTAACCCGATGTCGACGTCGGCAGTTGCGTCGATATCTCGCTTTCAGCATTAATAGAGCGTAACGGTTAAAAGGCACGCGTCATATTATTAACGTTAAAAGCGAGACGAAGATGCGAGAGAAAACCAAGGGGAGGAAGGGAGCGACGCTCTCTCGCCCGGAGTATTTTACTCAATTATTTTCGTCCGTTATGCGCTATACCGTGATCCAGCCTGTTTGGTTAATTTTGAATTAACGCTACGAAATTCGACAGCGGATGATGGAATTTTATTTTGCAACAGTAACTTTTTCGTCGCGAGATATATACCGTGCATAATCGATTTTTTAGTAATGTATGTATGTATGTACAAGATGATTTATGAATTTAACAAGAGAAATCTCTTTATAATATGTATATTTCAATAACCAATTATATGTGATAACGTCATTTATCGTTGACGAATTTGACCTAACAATCATCTAGAACATTTTATATTCCTAATACATTTTATATTTCTGCCTTAAATATATAAAAAAAGTTAAATTTGATATTCAAGAAAAATAATAAGATCTCTATTTTACGACCCTTATAGTTTCTTTAATAGCTAGAAGTTATAGACACTGTAACTCCGCTATACTTATTATATTGTACAGTTAAAAATGTGATACGTTATTATAATTATACGTTATAAGTACATGCAACGTGTATGTGTAAAACACCGTCATTAAATACTGTCGGAAAATCCATATATCGCCGTGTACCGCCACAGTATCGATGAAATCGACGATTCAGTAAAATTGAGTGAAATCCGAAACGCACGCGCGCAATCATTTCTACATTGTTGAAACATGATGCTTTCGCGCGCAATTCTCATAATTTATAGAAATGTTAATCCTGTAAGCATTTCAGTTTGCGATCGACAAAAATTCGCGAACAGTTAACATAATATAATATCAAAAGTGTCTCTTATATACATATTTTATTTAATTTTTATTTTATATTTAATTTAATATTTTATTATTTAATTTAATTTTTATTTTATATTTAATTTAATATTTAATTTTTATATTTTATTATATTTAATTTATATGTATTTAATTAATCCTAACTTTAATGTTTATAACCTAACCTAACCGCATTCGAATCTAACCTAACCTAACCTAACTTGATCCAAACTCTATTTAACCTAATTGTAATTTAACTTAACTATTTTTCTCTTTTATATGTTCATCTATTTTTATTTTTTGCAAACACAGTTTCAATTTTTAATAAGTAAGAAAGAAGTGTATGAGAATTTGCAGTGCAATTATCGATCCGCCGTAAAAGATATTGCATCGTCGCCCAAAAGATACCGAACTATCCCCTTTAAGCTCTCGACGTTAACGAGCTGAATGATTTCTAGCGGAATTCTACACGACAATTACTTTATCGAGATGGTCCGCGGTGACCTTCTGAAAACTACAATTACTAAATATAAAGGCTCATAAGCGAAGGCAACAATTATTATGTATATGTATATTATTTTTCATCATTATATTGTTTTGCGTTTTATAAAAACCCCGTCATATAGAAGATCAATCAAAGTAAGATGAATAATATGTGTAGCATAGGTAATATTATTTTAAAAAGATGTTAAAAAATTCTCTTTTTTTACTTCTCTTTTACAATCATAAGAAAAACATTTAAATAAGTTTCTATATATTTTATAAATTTAGTATTTATAAAAACGACTGATTTCTTGATAATTTTATTCAGATATATTTATAAATATGTACGTTGAAGAAAATAAATTAGTGATTATCGATTGTTTTGATTGCAAAACTATATTAATTGATTTATAAGTACATTTTGCCTTACATATCGATTTCTTCAAATGTCGCAAAGATAGAGATAGCTAAAAAATCACGAAGCAAATTGAGCCGATCATTCAACTGATTAGGTATCATTAATTCACAATAATAATTATATTTATATGTTGCTCCCAGTCTTATTTATTTAATTTATAAAATGTATATTCCGAACAGTGTTAGTTTGACTTACTCTTTTTCTAGATATGCAAGCTATTTAATTAAATCAAGAAATGTTCCAAATTTGTTATTACAGATAATCATAATCTATAAATCCTATAATCATTATTATAACGTATTGTTAATAAAAAATATCGCAAATGTTTAAATTAAGAAAAAATCACGTTTAATCATTGCTTTATCTCTATCCATTTTTTACTTCATACATATACGTTATATTGTACATAGTTTTACAGATTATGACAGATTCGGAATACATCTCGATTTAATTAAATAATTGTTAACATTTAGAAAAAAATAAGCCGAATTAACATATTTGTTTCAAAAACGTTTTACAAATGATTCTTTGAAATGTTTCATAACCGACTCTCGAAAACGTTTTTTATTAATTAAAATGTCTACTCGAAGAACGTTACGAGAAAAGTTTTCGAGTTTAAGAAACGGTCAAAATTCCATTTTTATCATTTTATACTTTATTCGTAAAGCAATAATATAGATATGTCCACTCTTAAACCATATTGTGCAATATAATAATTTTTACAATGCTGATATATTTTCTGCAATGTTAATGTAACATTTATAAAATATTGTAAAATATTTTCTTCTTAATTTTCTTCATTTATTCGGACACTTATTTGTCCGATTTTTGAATAATCAGTTTAATATTTGAATTTCTTGTTAGGATTGTATCAAAAAACTGACAAAAATAATTAATTGTAATAACATACATACAAACACTTTTTGCATGATTTATATAATTCTCGTGACTAAAACTTAAATGCGAGATAGATAACTCAACGTGCGACGCATAGCGGTAAATAAAAAAAATATTGTGATTGCATTATAATAGAGCAGTAATATTTTCCAATGTCTCCAACAAAATATTAACTTATAATATTTGCATAATATTGCTGCAATATTTGTAATATAGCTCAAAACAAATATTAAAATATTTATTTTATTAAATATCCCAGGTAGCAAACTGACGTTTAATGATGTCAGTCTGCTACCTGAGATTTTAGCAATATTTCGTGCTGTGGAAGTATAATTTAAACGTGAAAGAAACGTTTCTTAAATTATAGTTTTAAACCCGTTTTTGTCAAAACGTTTTTTATTTATGCTTAAACTGTTAACAAACTTTAGATACGTTTAAGAAACATTTCTAAAACGATCGTGTGCTACCTAGGAATCTAACTTAATCTTGATCCTAACTTTAATCAAATCATATCCAAATCTAATCTAAGCTAAATCTAATCTAACCTAATATAATGTTTAACCCTTAACTTATTACTTTATTTTTCTTTATTATTCATTTATATTTTTATTTTTTACAGAAATCAGAAGCGCATTCGCACGCAACGTTTTTCCAACACTCACGGTCTCACGAAGATTACGGCGGTTATCACTTGCGGTGCGTTGTTTCTCCCTCCATATGGTATCAAAATAACGAAGGCGGTCGTGCACGATTTTTTGCAGCGTGTTATCCAATTATCGACATTGACGACGGGGACGCGGACGACGACGACGGCGGGGACGCGCAGGCGATTAAAAGGCAGCGGCGCGAATAAATTAGCGGCGCTGCGGGCCGCCTCTTCACGCACGATGGCGCTGAGCGCGATTTATCGCGCGCTCGGCGCTCCCGCTCTCCCGTTTAATTGCCCACGCGCCGCCGACGTTCATCTGATAAATGCGAAATCGCTGCGCGAGATTACAATTAGCCAGGCGGGCGAGCGGCTTAAACGTCTTAATAGTCTCGTTGTTTTATAACGTCGGAGCCCTAATGTAGAAAATTAGCGCTAGGCTTGTTTCTCTTTGGGACACAAAATAACAAAAAATTACTTGAAACGGAAGTAAGAAGAAAAACGATGTGTTTAATATTTAATTAAATTACTTTTCTTAGTTTAAGGGAGATATAATATGTATAATATAATTAAAATTTAAATATATATATTTTATAATTAACTTCGGCTCGTATACAATTCTTAAGTTTTAAATTAATTTACGATCTATACAAAAGTTACGATAAACGTTTCGACTGTACGACTGTGTTATGTTCGTTGACAAAAAGTAAGTTAATACTATTTATTAAAATCTAAATGTATGTAATATTTGAGCGGATATATTAATTGTTCACAGTGTCGTTACATAATATAACAGCATCTGACGCTCTAACTCATGCCAACAATCATGAATTTTGTACTGCGTTCGTCATATAATCTTATAATTGTTGTATTTATTTATGATGTCGAAATGACTAAATTAATTTTTTAACATATTATTAAGATATTGAGAAAGACTGTCGTACAGTCGAAACGTTTATCGTAACTTTTGTATAGTATGACGTAAATTAATAAATAAAAATTTTCAATTATTAGCATATAAGCTCGTTAAGTTGGCTTTTATTATATCACATATAAAATTTAAATTAGGATTTTAGATTAACACTCGCAAATCCCAAAGATCAATCATGTACAGGTTGTCTTATTTAAATAATCAACGCAAATATCTCGAAAATATGGAAAACGATTCAAACAAAAGGTTTGGTTTAAAGGGAGACATAAGATGATGCCATTGATTTGACCACGGATAGTCATTTGAAGGTCATGTGAAGATCCATCTTCAATTTCTTAAACAGAACTACCCATTTTTCATTACATATTCTTGTAGTTTATCTCAAGAGCTTTCCAAACACTGTAATAAAGTATTTTCAAATTTACTATAAAATTGAGCCTATAAGAAACCAACGCAGTAAGTAAAGCATAAATTCATAGATTTATTAAATCACATTAGATCATAATAATACAATCGCGAACGTTTCTGTCCTTTTTTTGGACTCTCTTCAGCGCATACAATTCATATTATTCAAAATAAAAACGAAATATTAATACATTCTTCAAAACTTATTTAAAATGATGTTTTAATAAATACTGTCAATCCTGAATCGGTTGTATCTATAACTTATTAAGCTGTCATCATATGGTCTAATATTTATGCCATAGTGTATGTCGTGGATAAGAACATACCTCACTAAACAGATAATATAAATAATGAGTCTAAATATCATAAAATACAAAAAGTAGAATACATAGCAATCACGATGTACAAACTCAAAAATTTTTAATTGCAAGGTACAGACACGATACATTATATGTACAGTTGTTCTTTAAAAATAAGTCGCTAAGTCGCGCAGTCGTCTCTTTAAAATAACTCGGAAGTGATCAAGGTGAAATTTAATCATGTAAATAAACATAACTAATAATTGTTTTTAAACCTTAGACAGTTTATCCAACGTGTTTACATATGTATACCTCATGTAAGCTGTTAGTATCTGTTTGTAAATTCAACCCGTTATTTTGTCTTTTTATAAAAAGCATTTCAGAAATCAGTCTTTTATTAAAATTCGGTTCACTGTCTAATATTTTAACATCAGTCCAATTAAAATCATGATTAAGTTCTAATCTATGGTCAGTAATAACTGAACGGCTGGCTGCGTTTCGTCTTATATGATTACGATGTTCATTAATTCTAGTTCGCAATTGTCTACCAGTCTGACCGACATACGATGCATCACAATTAGTACATTCGATTTTATACACAATATTTATATGTGATGCAGTGGTTAATGTATCTTTACCTACTTTTATAAACCGATGCAACTTATTCAAAGTACAAAATGAAAATTTAACATCTAAATTACCAATTATCCTTTTAAAGCCTTCATAAATAGATGGAACAAATGGAATCGTGAAAAACTTTCTTCCACCATCCCTATTATTCTCATTCTCACACTGTGTATTTTGTGTATTATTAATACGATTAATAAATAAATATTTAAGTCGATTATAAATGGTCAAAAAAATTAAATCTAAAGAAAAGTTATTATTCAATAAGATATTAATGATCGAACTTAAATTTTTTTGTTGAAAACTTGGATGCGAAAGTAAGATAGCTCTATCGGTCAAACCCCATAATCGTGGCTCTCTTTTGTGAGAGCGGGTGTTGTGAAAGAAAATTAAGGTATCTACCTGAGAATGTAGACTTGATACCAGTCAAAAATCAATTTATTATTCATTTTGATTAAAGTAACATCTATTAAGAAATTCAATCTGTCCCCCTCACTCACCTCCATGGTAAACTGAAGACGCGGATGGAAAGAATTGAAAACGTTCAGAACATGTTCGAAAGCCGAAATGGATGCAGTTAAAGCTATATTATCAACATATCTGATATAAAAAGATGGTGTAATATTTAATCATCCCAATCTCTCTTCCAAATCTTGCAAACAATATCTGCAATTATGGGTGAGAGCGGTGACCCCATTGGTGTCCCAAACGTTTGTTGGTAGACAGTGCCATTAAAAACAAAAAACGTGGACTCCAAAATAAAGCGCACAGCATGTAAGAAACTCTCACACGGGATTGTACAATTTTTAGAAATGAAATCCCACCTCTTCCGAACACTTTCGATTGCCAGTTCAATCGGAATATTTGTAAACAAAGAAACTGCATCTAAAGAAATCAATACGAAGTCATCCTCAATGAACACTCCAGACAATGCATCCACCAACCTAAAACTATTCTCCATATGACTACGTGCTTTGGGAAAACTCCTAAGCATAATCCTATGAAGGTAACTAACTGATCAATATAAAAAGGGCTATTTAATGAAGAAACTATTAATCTCAATGGAATGCCACATATGTGAATTTTTGGGAGTCCATATAAGCTCTCGGTAAATTCCCATCACTGACGTATAGTGATTTATATATGTTATTCGATATATATTCCGACACCTTCCATGAAGTCAACAAATCTCGTAATTTATTCGTCAACCAATTTATTGGATCTTTCTTAATTATATTATATGTTTCAGAATCTCCAAAATGCCTTCCATTTTTCAATATAAATGTCTCTGTCAAGAGCAACAGAAACATTTCCCTTATCCGCTCTCGTAACAAAAACATTCAGATTATCCTTCAAAAAACTACTCGTAATAGAACACAAACGTCTCAATGTTAAATTAGTAATATTTCTAGGAGAAGAATAGACTGGCAATCTGCTAATGATCGGTGCAGCTTTATTTCTAATAGCTAATTGTGTGTATTCTTAGGGAGATATCTAATATTATTCTCAAAATTTTTGATAAAATCAGTCGTAAGTTTAGCTGATTTAATTGTGGGTAAACTAAAATTCTTACCTAATTGGAGAAGAGTTTGGACTTCTTTAGGAAAAGTCTTTTATATCAAATATTGACTGTTCTGTCTTAAAATTATTAGGAATGACCGATATCTCACATCTATCATAGTTCTCATTATCAAAATATTAGTAAAATCAGAAGCAAATTTATATCTCTGACAACTTCGCATGTTCGAATTACGCGATATCATACAAGAGTATGCTATCGGTCTAATCGTTTTTTTAAAAAGATTTTTTAATTTTCAACTCAAAAATTCAAATTTTTTAACCAATCTAGATCTTTCCCTTTGGAAAAAAGTATATAGTGGACCAGACTGTTCAATGAAAAATTGTTCACAAATATAAGACGGAATACAACGATAAATCGAATGACAAATTCTAAATATTTATGTATGAGCGAATCTTAATTTACAATATGCATCTCTCAATTCAATTTTTTGCAATCTAGTAATCAAGTGATTTCTGAGACATCTAAAATCCATAATCGATCTATGATTAAACAAAGAATCCTCGTAGTCGTATAATAAAGTAGTTATATGTTCGGTACCAAATCCTGTGAAATACATCTATGCATAAAAGTTATTCTCAATTTAGTAATAATAACCATCTTACGATATTTAATCCATTCTTTTAATAATTTAACAGCAACTAAACCGAAATCACCTTTAATTTTAAAGAAAAAGAATAATCTCGACGCATTTTTCGACATATTTTTTCAAATTATAAGGTTTGAAGTTAACAATTTTTTGGCATAAAATGTAAAGTATCTTGTAAAATATTCAATTTTTGGTAATCTTATCTAAATATTTTTATGCACTGAATAATGAGACCAATCAATTGGTATAAAGAAAATAGATAATTGTTTAAAAATATGTAATTTACAACTTACAGCTGCATACTTTTTCTTAAAAACAACTATGTGTATTACCGAAAACTTAATATTTTACAAGATATTTTACATTTTATGTCAAAACATTATTAACTTTAAACATTATAACTCAAAAACTTTATTATGAAAAAATACTTTATTATAGTGTATATACATATACATATATATTACAGAGATACAATATATTTTTATTCTAATTGGAGGAACATAACACGATAGAATGAAAATCCTTATTCGGTAGACCATCTAATTAACATACGTGCAGACGACACGTGGTCGAGAAACACGCTTATACGCATTATAACAGTAGCGCTTGCCAACGCATGATTCGGATTCCAATTAGGCGCGATCGGTTGACCAAGAGGTACCAATAAACCATATCGCCATATACATATATCGCTTTCGACTAGACGAACATATAAATTTATATATAGGAGGTATATTAGAGATTCGTAATTACAGAAAACGCAAAGTGTTTTCATTAAAAAACTAAAAAAACAATTATAGTTAATATACATATACATATTTGTATTATATAAACGTCTTGCCTCGACTTTCAGTCAACCGTTTCAAATTTCATATTGTTTATTGCTGCAAATAGTAAGATATAATAAGAATATAATTATTTTTAGATTATTATGACTGGTATTATGACCTGATTAACAAATATAGATATACATATACGTCCATAGAAACTGTTTTGAAAATTATGTTATTTTGTTTCAATATATTTATTTTAACCAGTTTTTTAGGTTTTTAGTTTATTTAATATTTATTTATTATTAATTTAATTTATGTAAACTTATATCAAATTTAAGTATAAAAAATAAACAATTTTTAGAATATTATTCGGCTCTCGAAATCAACACAAAAATTAATTTTTGCAATAACTGACGTAAAAGACATCGCGTTAGGCTCTACAGCCAGTATTATAGATCAATATTAATAATAAATGAAATATATGTGTGTATCTGCGTGTAGTAGAACATATGTATACATATACATATATGTATGTATACAAGATGTCCTATTTTAAGTTACCCACCCTAAAAACTTTTATTAAAATTTAATAAAAATTTTTATATAATTTATATATATATATATATATATATATATATATATATCCTTCTTCTTCCATCTCGTTCATCGATGAGAAAATTGAATCGGGCGTGCTGCAATGAGTCATAGGCTATCATTAATTACACTGATTGAACAAATACAAGCAAATGAATTAACAGGGTATAAGAGAACGAGAATAAACAGAAAGAGGCGGAAGAATGGAAAAATAGATGCATACCGATTCAAAATTGAAGGATTTCACAGCTGCACATAAACTATACTTTAATGACACAAATAGAAAGATTTCTTATTGTTTATATATTTTTTTATTAATACTTAACAAGAATTTTTTGTATTTTGTAATTATACAATGTATATGGGGCATTCTATACCAAATCAACGACTTTTTTCCCTTTTTTTATTTGCTTCATTTATTTTATCTTTTTGTATTTATTGAAAGTAGCTTTCATGAATTTTTTTAAATTTTATCTTTATTAATTTCCAAGTTATATATTTTAAAACATTGATTTTTTTAATTAAAAAATTTAAATATTTATAACTTGAAGAAAAATTAACATATTGTGTCATTAATATATTTATTACAATAATGATATTTTTTTAAATTATAAATTAATAAAATAATAAAAAGGAAAAATTGTAAACAAATATTGAAATCTAATAGTATTTCTATTTGCAAATTATAAAATTAATTTTCTTGAATTTTTAAATCATGCGTCACTATAAAAAGTTGGTAAAAATACATAAACAATAACAAAAAATAATGATATTTTTAAACTGAATAAAGAAAATATTATATTTATCGTAATATAATGATATATTTTTTAATTATATAAATAAATAAAATAATGAATAAGAAAAATTATAAACAAATATTGAAATCTATTAGTATTTCTATTTGCGAATTAAAAAATTAATTTTCTGGAATTTTTTCTATTAAATCATGCGTCGCTACGTTAATCCGCAAATATTCTGTATCAATGCCACTCGAACGCGCAATTCTTTAAATAGAAATAAAAAACTTAGCTGTACGCTTTATGAATCGCACGTTCGTGTATGCGCGTTCGTCCGTCGAAAATATAAAAAAATAAAAGTCTGCTATGTGAAATGAACATGTTCGTTCATCGGTGCGAATTAAGGTAGCATGCGGACGCGTTTGCACGCGAATACCTTATCTTGCTTCGTGCCGCAATGCCTCGTCGAGTTTATCGGAGTCGACTATGCAATATCTCCCGAATCTCATACATACACACACACACATACACATACTCATTGATCACCAACATCAATGTGTGATAACTCTTGCACGTGCTCTTTTTCGCCCTCTTTTTCGGCGAAAATTGCAACTAGAAATGATGGTGCGTATTGAAAACGCATTGCCATGCTAATGATTTACCTTTGCATTAACTGATCCGTTTATATTTCTACTATAACTTTGTCTTTTTTATTTTATCAACCTTATTATTATTTTTATTATATATATTATTAATCTTATTATTATTATTATTATACAGGAAAGCATGCTGAGTTGTACCCCTAAAGTAAATATTAAAATTGCAATAAAATAAAGAAATGACAAAATTTTTGTATTTATTTGAAACTGATTCTTCTTTTCATAAGTTTTTAATCGTACCCTAACAATAAAATTGTAAAACATGTAACAAAAATGACGTAATATTTTCTAAAAGTTCTCATTGCAGTCTGCAACAAAACATATCTGTAAGAATGTCATATTTATAATCATAAATTTTCTTCAAAAATTTAACAATACTTTTTGTATCACAAAAATATAAATAAGTATTATTCCAATATAAAATTTGTTAATATTTTCTTCAATTGTCCTTCTAAATATAAAAAATAATCGAATGTCTAAGTAAAAAATAAATTTAGTAAATCGTACCAGTACAATATAGGAAAAAGTAATTTTACTAAACTATTGAAACAATAATCTTTTCCACTATAATTTAAAATATATTTTTAATTATGATACATAATTATACATAATTATATAAGTATTAATTAATTTCACTTATCGAAGATTTAATAAGATATAATATTTCAACGAAAGGAGATGCGACTCTCTGTCATGTATAATTTCGCAAAATCTATCAATTATCATCCAACCCACCGATTTTTTCGACAAAGTGTAAACCAAGAGATTTTTCCCTTTCTTCGATTATGGGAAAAGTTACAGGCACAGGTCAGTGTTAATCCTGCGTTCTGTTCTGTGCCATCGTCATGGAAACGCAAAGCTCCAAAAATTATTTCGACGTCTAGCGTCGACCAATAATAAAAAAAATATATATATATATATATACGAGGTGTGTTCAAAAAGTATCGCGAATTTTGAATTTCCGCGGGTTACGTATATTCGATTTTCGATTTTTTTGTGGCGTTATATTGGTACTCATGTTTCTCATTTATGCCGACAAGTACGGCCATTTTGAATGTTCAGT